AATTAACGGTTAACAGCCTCAACTTTGGGAGATTTTAAGGCACAGCCAAACGAAGTAAGTAAGAAACATTCATGCCACGCATGTAGTAAAGAGGTCTTTTTCTGTCTAAAAGACGCCGACCTATGTGTGCACGTCTACAAATCTTCGATGATATTAAAAATACAACAGTGTGGTCGTACACCTCTAATTGATATATTTAGGTATTTAGTATTCTGTGTGCGTATCTTCTGCCAAACAGTATCTACGAAGAGTAGCATATTGACTATGTATGAGACTTAACTAAAAGGCATTTGTTTCTATCATATAAGAGAACTTCCGAACACCAAGCTATCGTGACAGGCATTACATTATTATATATCGATTGAGAAAGTATTGAGTAGAGATAAACTTACGTTACGCTGCCAATTTACGTTACAATATCGACTTATTGCGTTAACTCGTAGCAGAGGTAGTAACATTGTAATTTCGTCGTAAGGCGACCCTTTTTTGGTACTTAAAAACCTTCAGAATAGTTGGCGGAAGCCTTAAAAGCCCCTATAACTCGTGCAAGTTAGTTAGTATTTTGAAAAAGTGCACAGTTCTGATTCAGTTCACGAATTTTGCAGTTACTGCGTCTCGAGAAACGTATCGACTCAAAAACAAAGCAGCTAATTATGCCGAAGTTCGTCGGTCGATCAAAACGAAAAGTCGGTCGGTATTGTGAGACCCTCCGTGAGACATAGTGCAAGGGCGTACTAGAGTTATATCAGTGCTGCTGCGCGTCGGCTGTTGGGTACTAAATCTTGAAGTTTATAAACTGATTGACCTTGTAATTCCCATTTCAATCTAGAAATTTCGATGAAAGTTCTCACAAATAACGCTTTGTGTTCATCATTATCTTAAAGGCTGACAGCCAATCCTAAATATCCAGAAAAACAGTCCCCGTAACAGCATAGCGGGTTACGTATTTGCCCGCTAATCATAGAGACACGTTGTGGTCTAGGCCCAAGTCCGAGCGTAGACAGACTTCATTTCCAGCTGGAAGCCGGCCCCATATCTAACAATAAAAACAGTCAATTAGTAAGCCACATGTAACGTAAATACGGAAATTCATTAACTTCCGATCGTCAAACAGTAGGATTTTCACCGTCCGATAAGAACGGCAGTTGACAGGCGAGAGCACTCTGTATTGCGTTAGAAAACAAATGGCATATGTTGTTTGTGATCCTGGCTGTCTTGTGAGGTAGTGGAAATACAATATCTGTGGTTGTTTATGGGCAAATGCGATTATTGGCAATCGTGGCAACATGGGTGATAATAAAGTACTACTGGAAACCTACACAGTATCTGCTTGTTATTTTTATATATATATATATATATATAAAAATAACAAGCAGATACTGTGTAGGTTTCCAGTAGTACTTTATTATCACCCATGTTG